TTGTTAATTTACCTTCGTATTGATCGTTTTTATTGACGACGTGGAATTTGAATCTTTTTCTTATCGTATGGCTTGTTCTCTATTAGTTGATAAATCTGACCGCTTATTCATCTGGCGAACCTATCCCGTAAAGCTGACGTAACAGTTACAGTAAAAATACGAAATATAATGCTAAATCGTAATACATTAATTGAATGAATTGAGTTTTCCATCTTGACTAATCAATAGTTATGATATTTTCAAGTATTGGTTTATTTAGTAGGGATTTAATTTGATGGGATGGAGGATTTCATCATGAGCTGACATCAGATAGAGAACCAGTGGATAACCTGGGAGTACTGGACAACTGTGTCGTCCTATTTTTGGACCTTTCATCAGTACGCACCCACACTGCGGGGTTCGAACCCAGGACCCTCTGGTTACAAGGCGAGCTCGGAGACCATGCAGCAGCCACTGGGACCCGATCCAATGGCCAGTCAGTGCATGAATTCTAACTTCTGCTCATGATGAAATCCTCCATCCAATCAAACAAAATCACTACAAAACCAATACTTTAAAATTAATCTGATGCTCATTAGCGACTGGTTCTATTCAGGCAGTTAACTTGGGGTTCTAGTGGGAAGCCATTACCAGTAGGGTACAGCAGGTTGAAGATGAGGCAGTAACTCATCGAAGAAGACATTGCGAAATGGTCGTGCTATGTCGTGAATTGGCAGAAGTTAGAATTCATGCACTGACTGGCCAATGGATCGGGTCCCAGTGGCTGCTGCATGGTCTACGAGCTTGTCTTGTAACCAGAAGATCCTGGGTTCGAACCATGCAGTGTGGGTGCGTACTGATGAAGAGTCCTAAACTAGGCTGACGAAACAGCTGGCTGTCCAGTACTCCCAGGTTTTCCTGTTATGATATTATCTACTGATTGCACTTGGATGTTTAAAATGAATGATCTTGGTGCCATGGTTCCAACTACGAGTGGTATGAATGAGGATGTCTAAGCCAGAATCGGGAAGGCAATACAGGTTTTCATTAACCTGATACCAATGTGAAAACAAACCTAAAGCACTTAGCACAACATACAAGATGCGAATTTCCAACATCGTTGTCAAGCCCAAAAGTGTTTCGATATGGTTCCGACACTTTGTGCATGCCTTCACCAAAAGTATTTCCGATGGACTAATGAAGACTTTCATAATTAACAACAAAGGAACTCCGGCACACTGTGAACTAAGCAACCACCTATTGTCCGACAGATACGCCAGAGGAAATGTACACAGATTGGACACACACTGAAGAGACCATCGAGTAGACTCACACGCCAGTCCCGCCGAATGGAACCCAATTGGGAAACGCAGAGTTCAGCCTGGGTCAGAGGTTAACAAGAAGAAGATTATGTGGTGAAGAAATGGAAGCTTGTGCATAATCTTGGAACCAGCTTAAAAAAGACTAGAGAGTAAGTACTACAGGCAGTGCTGTGTAAATCTGGCCTATATACACCAACACGCTTTGATAACCTACAAGTTATTTCTAAAACAATGCGAAATCTGACTACATCACTTAAATGAATTGATTTTTTTTTCAATCTTAACTAATCAATAATTATGATATGTCTGTTTATTGATTACAATTAGATATTTAAAATTAATAAAGATTAATCATTTATTTATTTATTCACTTATACCTCTTTAAATTAAATACACCTTCTTTTTGCATATGTACGATGATAACTGAAAGTACGCCTGCGTAACGATAAGTAGATCATATCTGGTGTCAAAGTCAACTAAGGTATAACTTGTGCGTAATAATTAATTTCTCTATCACACCATCGAAGCGTATTCACCAATAAAAACGAAGGTCAACTAAGTCAGTGTAAATTTTTTATACACAGCAAATATTCTTACATATGATACAAAGCCGTTTGTATGATTAGGCTAGATTATAACCATAAACCAATAGTAGAATTTCAACGTTGACCATGGATTGATAGCAGTTAGAGAGCCACTGAAAACCAAGGGATCACTACACAGTTGTTTCGTCCCAGCCCGGGACTCACCCACCGCCAGGTTTTGAATTCACGACCTTCCGGTTACAAGTCAAGGCGAGATCGTAGATAATTCAGCTACTGGGGGGACCCAACTCAATGGCCAGCCTATGAATTCTAACTTCTACCAGTTAGCGATTTTATCGTGACTACCAACCAGTGTTATCGAGGAGTATTTGTTCCCACTCCCGACCGCATGGATATCACTGGTCATGACTTCTTTCGAGAACAGTGATAGATCAAGTGTTTGCAAGCATAGCTCTTGCGATCCATAAACTAAGACAATAAAACCCACTTGAGCAACAAACGTTTTCTTTTGCCGATATTACTCAGTCATGAATCGCATTCATTTAGACCGAACTACCGAATAACGACCTATGGGTGAATAAATGACTCATTATTTTGAGAACGATACATTCCGACTGGATTGGATCATGCAATAGACCTTGGGGAACGAAAACAAGGGCAGGCATTATACCAATGAGAAGACACTGGAAGATCTAGACTTCGTGGATGATTTATGTTTGTTTTCGCGTAGGAGATGTACAGATATAAACCAACAAGCTGGGAGAAGTGGCAGCACCGAAGACAGTGTACACACAGAACGAATAGGTGATGAAGATATCTAACTATCAACAACAAGCGCCAATCATCACCACTATGAGAAATCTAAAGAAAGTCACCTGTTTCACTTACCTTACCGGGAAGCATCGTTTCAACTGCAAGTGGCACAGATCACGGTGTCAAAGGCAGGATCGGAAAAGCAAGACGGTCTTTAATTATTCTGGAATCAATGTGGAAACCTACTGGATTCAGCATAAGGAACAAGATCAGGGTCTACAATACTATTGTCAAATCAGTCCGTCTATATGCATACAATAAAATAAACACATATGTGTCATCGAGCCATGTTACCAACTGTCTCCAAAACATTGATACTTAGTGTAACGAGGACGCTAGCCACCCTACCCCTGCACACGTAATTCAATTGGACACTAGGTAATAACTTATGGCATACATCTAGTCCCTCGTTTGGTGCAGACTGAATTGTCTCCTTACGTGACACAGACCAACATTCAAAGACTTCATCGATTGGTTTCATACCTTGTAACTGGTCTTTTCCATCCAGCCGTTCTTTTGTAGAGTGGTTTGCGGATCGCCTGAAGGAGACACCTTACTTCTGCTTCATCTCTATCGCCAGCAACCCGACTTCAGTCCCAGATTTCCACCATGGTGCGTATAACATATACTACGATGGTAACTGGTTTTAGTCCAGCTGTTATCCAGCACAACATCCTTGAATAGTAGCTTTAGGAACACTCATTTTAGTCAGCGCTACTCGCTGAGTTATCGCGATGCACGAGGCCGACCACCACATGAGTACAACAGAAATCGGTCGGGTCCCGATGCATAAGCAGCCATTTACAGAATTCCTGTCACTTCACCGGCTAAGTGAGGCTATTTCCCTCATACAAGGTATGACAGAGCCCGATATCAATTACTAAAAACCCGTAGACAGGAGTTGCCTATTGCGAGAAGGAATGACTTATTGAAATCACACTTTCGTAACCATAACCCGTTTAGGAAGGTCACTCCCTCTAATATCGGGTAGAAAATTTATGAACTGGCTAAGATGCTTGTAACGCTTACTTAATTGTCTAAACTATAAGTCAGAAGGGATTTCATTAATCACATTACGCAGAGACATACATGGCAATCTATGCAGCTATAAAAGTCATGCAGATAGTTCAGTCGGACAAACACGAACGACCCGCGATATTCAAAATATCTATACGACCATGTGAAGAGATTTTGACACATTATGACTAGAGTAAGCGAATTGGTTGCGCAAAGTTCTGCCATAAAAAATTCTCTTATCTGCAACTTTATTCCATATCATTCATTTTGAAAATCCCCCCAACAAAATGAACACATTAGTAGAGCATTTCTTTTATTGTTCCTGCGCAAATAATGCGCACACATGCTTTCTTGATTATTACCATATATTATGGTGATCTGAAAAATTTCCGCTTTGAAAGAGAACTGTGCTCAAATTTCACCTCAAAATGTGTATAAATTGCAACATGAGGCTTCAGCCACATGTCTCCATTGCACGTTCGGTTCTCTGCCAACGTTTCCACCTGACTCCACGTCCGCCCACAAGCTTTCATCTCCTCTTCGCATGACCTCCTCCTTGATGTCACCCTCACACTGACGACCAACTAACTCACCGCTTTCCATTCAGGTTCCACTCGAGCTATAGCCTGGCGCGTGATGTCACTCACTTGATGTTTTTTTTCAGAGTATGACCATCAATCCAACTCCATTTCTTCCTGCATATTTGTTGTGCACAATTGGTTCCTGATGGGTTGGTTCGCTCCTTGCCAGAGATCCCTTCCTGTTGCTGATCTTTTCTGGCCGGCAATCAGATCGTGAGTAGGATTGAGTGAAGACAGCTGTTGATGAAGGTCTGCAGATTCTTCGAAATGGCCTTCGTGAAGCGGCGTCAAGCCTCTGATCCAGTGAATTCACATTGGGGTTGAAAATAATCCTAAGTAATGTTGATCTCCACACAGACTTGAGAGTAATGAAAGCTTGCCTTGCTTGCAAATTAATTTGCAAATTAGGAATTCAATTTATGGTATTACCAGTCCATCCAAGTAGCTAGCCAAAAGTCGGGTGGTTTTGGCTGATCTGGCTCTCTCTCTCTCTCTCTTTAAGCTAAGTCACATCAGGTACATGGCTGATGAGCACTGCCGCAAACGAGGGAAACGGCCATCCAGTGTTTGATCTAACTAATAAGCACTACTGGTTGATGTGTGTGTGTGTGTGTTATACAACTACTCAGCTAAATCAATCAGCATCAATCAGTCCACATGAAACTCGTGAAAATGTAATACGAGATGTTTCACTTAGCTACCTCAGTAAGGAGAAACTTTTATTCAAGAAAAGAAAGCCAAAATCACCAAGAGGGTTTATTCTTTATAGATGAGTAAATGGGATCATAAAAACTCCTAAAAAAATTTATTTTTCAGGAAAATTTATGAACTCCACATGCATTCTATACATATATCCTGTTAAATTATAGTATTGCTACAGAGTAATGATAAGATCTAGGAGGTTGTTGTACAAAGTTCAATTCTGTTTAGTATCATTATTATAATTATTCGTATTATTTTGTTGCTTCTCTCAAATAGGTGATAAGATCATTACGATCAGTATCCTTCTTTAGACCAGCGAAAACCATCTTTGTGCCAGGGATGTATTTCTTTGGATTTTCTAAATATTCAAACAGTGTTTGTTCACTCCATGTGATACCTAGGGGAAGTACACAAAAAGAAACCGGTAATATAGAAATAGTCAACAGAAATAAGTATACATATAATTTTAAGCTATATATTACTAAAACACGAAATTGATACGTTATGGGAACTAAGAGATGCGCCCCACAAAGCCTAAGAGTTTGAGAGAGGGTTGGAGGAAACAACCCGGACGCTCAAACTAAAGCAGTCAGTTCTTTCAAAGGGCCAACCCTTCCCCCGGAGCCTTCGACTTGAAGTTTAATCCACAAGGAAATAGGGCTGGCGTCGGGAGCTGCGTTCTCATGGTTGCCGGTGACGAAAACAGGTCTGTACGCGATTCGATGACCCCAACGGATTCGAGAGCCTGTAGGTTCGAAATTCAGGTTTCCAACTATCCTAGGTAGAGCTGCATGTCCACCAGTTCGGTTTTAAGCGCCTGATATTCACATTCACCACATGAAGGTAGTAAATGGGACTTACTTTGCTGGCAGAGGTTATGACTACTTAGCCAATTGACAGCATTTCGAGAGAAAGACCGAAGTTTACTCACTCTTAGCCATACCAAGTCGTTTATGGGAGGAGAATAATTTTAAGTGTCCATTTATGGACTTATGACTACATTTATGGAGATACATGTGTGCATTTTGATCAAGTTAGAGGGAAGCCTATGGAAGCCATCCAAAAACTCTTAAAAAAGGAAGCAATTTATTGTCATGACAAAGTTTACTTGGTTATAGAACGAGAAATGGATATTATTTAGTTAAAGCATAAACTGTGTGACCTAGAGTAAGTTGCAGCCACATAAGTATGCAGCCATTTAGGAACGTATGGGCAGTGATGGGCTTTATATTAAGTGGTCAAACAAAGAGAAAGCAGATGTAATCTTAGTCCGTCACACCCCAAAATGGTATAGAACATGACAAAATGTAATGGTCCATACTGCCATAGTATAGAAAAATTCAACAAAAGTACAAGCACTCCAGATGGACAAAACAAATCGGAAAATGGAACAAACTAATCCAAGTTACCAAGGTGTTTACAACTCTGCACATAAATAGTGTACAGAAATTTACATTGTTATGATTGATTTTGAGTAGCTGCATACTGACTGGTCTTTGTGATTCTAAGGCGGAATAGATGCGAGAAATTATCTAACGCCGTTGTACTCTGTAAGTTGGTTTTTATTTAATCTAATACGCTATAAACCACACTGAATGCATAATTTTTTGATAATACCCAAGTAACAAAGCCAAGGTAACTAGAGGGGGACTTGAGCCCAGGACAGTTGCTTTTACTTTACCTAACCATTTCCTCACACTTATGTCTTTTCTAATATACCAAGTCTCAACAAATGCAAGTTGATAGTTTTTCTAACTCATTTACCTTCTTTAATACTCAGTTTTAATACTAACTTCTTTAACAGTTACTTATTAAGTCTCGTAATCCCAAATCCATATATCTGTTTTGAATGGTCGTGTTTTACGGATCAAAGTAAGACAGAAAACATCATCACACTCTAAAACAGTGACTGTTTTTATCTGGATACCAGGAAATAATCTGGTTAATGATGACTTAATGGGCTACAAAAAATGCTTTTATGGTTTTAGTGGGTGTTTCAGTTACCACTCAGTCGACTATACGCAAGAAAATTTTAGCCCCCCACACTTCCTTATACATTTGAGACATAGTAAGGTGAACATAAACTCACAACTGACTGAAAGTTTTAGTTAATCTCCCATCATATTAGCGCACTGAGATTGTCATAAGCATTCATCAAAAACTTAGTACACATTACTGCACCCAGTAAGTCAGAAGCGTTTTATGAAATGAAGTACTTCAAATGAACAGCATTTGACGTATATATATTACCTCTTTAAACATAAAATTACTGAGACTCTAAAACATTTTGTAATTCTTATCAAGGAATACTTCAACAAGTTATTTGTTTAACTAGGATGCTTCCTAAATATGTAAGTAGACAAAGAAGAAAACGTTTGTCACTCTCTAAACTCATTTAGATGAGTTAGCGTGAATTTAACACAAAAATGAAGACTTTTGGAGATAAAGAATCACAGCTGAGGCCATCAGGAGACGGTGAAAACATTCGTGGGGAATTCAGACACATTCACTGCACATAGAAATGTCTGGAACATTGAAAACAGCAATAAAACCACCGAGATATACGAGACTCATATTGCAAAAAATATGCAATATTACCGAAAACCACGCAATCATGAACAAGGTATCACTGAGATGATTTTCAAGTACAATATAGTTCTCTTACTTCCCCTTTACTCAATTGCTTATGTACCACTTTATACAACACGTTGTGTATTGCCAAACTTTAACGTAACAGACAAAGGTGACAACCTTCGCAGAGGACTTAAATGATAAGAAACATCATAGTGATTCCAGATAGACTATAATGGTCTTAATGACCCAGTGTAGGGATCATTATTCTATCAGTGTAACAGCGTGATTCAACCAGAATGAATACCCTGCCTAGAAACCTAGTTTTAGAAACGCTTTGTCTTCATGAACTACACTTATCTCATAATGTCCAAAACAGACATATATATATGCATATATATATATATATATATCATCAGGTGGTACGTATGTATGTATGCATACTAACTAGAATTATGGTCACATAAGTTCTTCACATGACCCAGACAGTCCAAGTCTTGGCAAAGTGAGGCTACATGAGCTCCCACTCAGCGCCTGTCTCAAACACGCCTAGTACTTTGTAGTGAGAAAAAAATGCTGGCTGCCTTGAGTATACATCAGGAAGCTCGAAATGTTTCTCGAGGGACGACCATTTTGCCTGAAAATTCACAAATGAAACAGGAAGACCAAACATGGCACAGTGTACTCAAGGTCTGTATAAGAGATTTTAAAAACCTTGTTATTGTTGCACTAGGGTGAACTTGTGTTCTTGGGTGCATTCACACTTGATATATTCTAATTCCAGCCGACAGGAATAAGCTCATACATAAGCCTAAATGGTGCTACGCAGGACAGAGTATGGATTATTTAGTTGCTCCTTGCTAATCTGGGGCGCACCAACTTTTATTCTGTGAGTATATGAAGGAATAAAACTGCAGCGAAAGCAACACAGTACCTACCTTTGCTTTTGTTAGCAGGAGTGTAATCATATCCAGCAGCCTGTCCTGTTTTACGACCGAAGACTCCATGTAGATTAGGTCCTGTCTTATGTGGGCCACCTTTTTCTACTGTGTGGCACTGAGCACATCGTTGGACAAACAACTTTTTGCCCTTATCAGCATTACCCTCGGCGAAAGGCATTGTAACGCAAAGACTAAAAAGGCCACTAGTAATAACGGCGGACGCAGTGGGAATCGAAGCAAACAAACAAATTCCTACTCAAAGTTTCAATAAAAGGTCTGACTTTATTTTTGAATAATGTCAGCGAATCGATCTTCGCGATGATGTGTTTTACTTGTCGAGCTCTCTTTTTCACAATATTTCACTTATTATGTATATTGCTGTGGAAGTGTTATTTCTTAGGCCATGAGTCCGACACAATCTACTGTTTATCATGAAATGCGATACTTTTGAAGCTCGTTTCTTATTGTTCTAGTTCCTCTCATCCCATGGAGAGGACCTGAATGTGAACGGATGAACAGTTGCCATCTTTGACTGGTTACTACCTGGAGTGAAGAAAATCCTGCACGACGTACCGTGTCTGTTTTACGTAGAGAGCATTCTCTTGTAGGGGTTAGCAAGCTGATGTATGAGGGTCATCGTCATCGTTGGACTTCACTGATTATTTGCCGTTTGACTTAAGCTATTCTCTCCTCCTTTCCTTATTCAATGAAAATTCGAAGTGGTGTAGTGAAAAGCCTGCGCACTTTCAATGGCTTGGTAAGTTATTACCGACGGTTGATTTCCAACTGTCCTTCTCTGATTGAACCATTAACCGACCTCTTCGAAGGAATAACAAGTCCATCGAACTTGACGCGTCTTCTCGAAATGCTTTCACTCAGGTTAAAAAAGCTATTGCAGATGCCCCACTTTTAATGTTTCAGGATCCAACGGCACCGTTAAGTATCTCGGTTGGTGCATCAGACACTGCAGTCGGCGCGGTCCTGCAACAACTAGTCAACAGAGAACGGCAACCAATCGCCCTTTTCTCGAGGCGCCTTCAATTAGCAGAAACGAAGTACAGCACATTCGGCGGAGAACTTCCTGCTATTTACTGTGCTATATGTCATTTTCGACATTCATTGGAAGGTCGTGAATTTACCATTTTCACTAACCACAAACCTCTGGCGTACTCTCTGAACTCAACTTCACATAAGTATTCACCTTGAGAATCACGACAACTGGACTACGTTTCACAGTTTACATCGAATATTCGTCATGTATCCGGAGTGAACACTGTGGCAGATGCCTTGTTGCGCGTTTGTTCCCTCACCCAAAAAGACGGCATAGGTCTTGTGAAACTGGCTAGTCTTCAAAAGCGAAGATACTGAGCTTCAATATGAATTGTCAGAAACAATTAGCCGAGAACCTCTTAGGTATGGGAAGAGACACTATTCTATGTGGCATTTCCACGAGAACTTCTCAACCCGTGGTGTCTAAAAGTTATCGTCGTAACGTCTTCAATACGTTGCATGGCTTATCTCACCCAGGCATTCGAACTACCGTCAAGCTCGTAACTAGTCAGTTTTGTTGGCCTGATATCAACAAAGAAGTAAGGGAATGTGCACACATGTGCTTAGCTTGCCAAAAGAGCTAGTTAGTAAGACACACCAAAAACCCTCTTGGCACCCTTCTTATCTCTGACTCTCGTTTCGAACACGTTCACATAGATCTTTCTGACCCCTCCCAGAATCCCATGGAAATACCTGTATCTTAACCTGCATCGACTGTTCCACACGATGGCCTGAAGCAGAACCCTTAATGGATGTATCTGCTGAAACAGTCGCACGCGTCTTTGTAGAAAGATGGATCGTCAACTTTGGATGCCCATCCTCCGTAACAGCTGATCGCGGGCGGCAATTCGAAAGCGACTTATTCTTCACCCTGACTAAAAGCATAGGTTGTATGCGTTTTGGAACAACACTCCACCATCCTCAAGCTAACACTATGGAAGAGCGTCTACACAGACAGTTGAAAGCTGGTTTATCAGCTACAAACAATACCCATTGGACTGAATCACTACCGCTAGTTCTCCCAGGGATACGAAACGCCTTGAAAACTTATGCTGGTTGTACTACCACCGAGCTAGTATATGGCACAGCACTATGACTGCCAGGTGAGTTTGTTTCTCCCTCTAGCTTCCCACGAGCGGTAGACGAAGCCTCATACGTCAGCAGGCTTACAAAGGCAATGCGTTCAGTTAAACCTGCTCTCCTTCGACCACAGAACATGGAGGTTTTTGTTTACTCGTGATTGAAAACTTCTTCACATGTATTTGTTCGCCGTGACTCTGTGCGTCGCCCTTTGGAACCCCCATACGATGGACCATAAAAAAGTCATTAAACGTATAGATAAATTCTTTGTCTTAGACAAAAAGGCCACGAAGACACCGTAAGCATCGCCCATCTGAAACCAACCTACTTAGAAGGCATTCTTATTAGCCTAGAACTGAGCATTCCTAATAATGCACAAGTAACCGAACCTTCTATCTTGCCCTCAAAGAAAACACGTTCTGGAGGAGACGTGAGATTTCCAAAACATCTTCACACATATATCACATAACTAAATGATGCGATTCGTTTATGGCATTTATTTTTTTCTTTCAGACACATACATTTTTTTATATTGCATCCCACAACACATGTAAAACATTTTTCTGTAACCGTACATGTTGCATCCACAAAAAATTAGACATACACTTTTTTCCATGTTCTGTCTTTAGCATGATTTTACTGTATGGTAGATGCATGTCATTTTTCAAACATTACATTTGGTACGTCTTCCTCAACAAGGATCTCAGCATTCCTGTTTTCTTTTCCAGGTGCGATGAACACTGGACAAGAGGCAAACAAGCAGTATATCCAACGGACAAACACCAACGAAGCGATGTACGGACACCCTATTAGCATAGGTAGATGACCAGTCGGCACCCCACCAAGCCGCTCGGGAGTTTTTTACCGATGGGGTACCATCGAGATTTTTACTTCCGGCTGGTTCTGTCTTGAGGTCCTCACAACCCTACTAGGGCGGAGTGAGCTGTAGCGGTAAATAATTCCCCAAAACTATTGACCACAGCACCCATCACTGAACATTGGATGCTGACCCTCACTGTTTAAGTCGGCTTGTTTAGCTGAAGGCTTCCGATCAAACATCCACGCCATTTGGTACGCCGTCGTGTCACGTTCGTTCGTTCGTTCATGCATGATCCCTAGCCAGCTAAGCGATCCCGAAATATATCTCGTAATTTGGACGATCAAATATTGTCTTTTGCTTTGCCTTTGGTCTACGCGGAACTGATACTACAGAAGTCGTTGGCATTAGATCTTGCGTTAGCATACTTCGTACTATCTGTGAACGTCAATACCGTCAGCCTCTAAAGTGGTCTGGGGTAAGTGAAGAAGATTATTTCAAGTTTCAGGAAGATCTCATCACTAATGAAGAATTGGTTGACAGCAAACAGGATTCGAAATGACTGAAACAAACTTAGTCCATGATTCCCTAGACCACGGGGATACAGAAAGTCACGTATTGTCTACGTTAGACCAAGTTGTCACAGAACCTCGCCTAGTTAACTAGCTTGCTAGTTTTCTAGCCGGTCCCAAGCCAGGGAAAAGAGGGAGGGTAGGGCGAGGGGCAAGCAACCCCACATCACTAAACCTATCAAACCGCTAGAGAAACTTCAACGCACAAAAAGTATACTTAAAATACGAAAACCTCAAATAACAATCTTGTTCTTAGCAGGAATCGGAGAGGCGAAATAACACAGCGGGTTGCCTGGTGAAAGCCTTCAGGAAGCAAGCTAACCGATGTATCTTCCCCCGATTAAAGCAAGAATAAGAATGGGGACGTGGGATGTCTGTACAATGTACTAGACTGGAAAGGCTGTACAGGTAGCCAAAGAAATGCGAAGATACGACATAGAATTGCTGGGTATCTGAGAGAGCAAATGGAACGGATGTCGACTGTCGAAATTGTCAACTGGAGAGTCACTAATTTACTCCGGTCTGGTCACCCAGACGATGACCATGAGCACACTGAAGCAGTGAGTGGCTATAATGATGTCACCAATGGCAGCATAAGCTCTAATGCAGTGGGAACCAATCTTCTCTTGCATTATTATGACAGTAAAATTCAACTCATAAGGATGGAAGGTTACAATTATTCAGCGCTACGCACCTACAAACGACGCGAAACAATAGAAAAGGGAAACGTTTACAGACAACCACAAACAGTAGTGGACAACATCCCAAGTGGTGACATCAACACCCTCATGGGCGATGTGAACGCAAGCCGAACTAGGGACAGATACTACAGGAAGAGGACTCATAGAGGGTCAAGAGGCCCTCAATTGTCAGAATGAATGCAAACGGAGAATTATTCGCAAACTTTTACGCTTTCAATGATTTGGTGATTGGAGGCAGTGTGTACAGACACAAGAATATATCGCTGATGGACATAACACAAACCAAATAGATTTTTTATCTCCTTCTCAAGGAGATACAGCCCACTGGACACAAAGTCCAGAAGGAGAGCAGATGTGGGCTCAGACCATCACCTAGTTCAATGAACCCTCACAGTGAAGCTGAAATCCTGCAGAAAAACTAGAGATAGGCCAAAATTCAAGTAAAACACCCCGAAAACGAAGGAGAAAACCACAAGGTATGCCTTCACTACGGATATCAAAGCGAAGTCGGAGACACTACGTGAAATTAGTGAGCAAGCTAGCATGGAAAAACATTGGAACTAACTTTGTGAAGGTAATGTTCAAGGAAACGTGCACAACTGTTCTAGGAAGAAAGAAGTGACAAGACAAGGAATGTCTCTCAGTAGACAGAGGAAAATGGTAAAAGAGAAGATGACTCAATGCAAAGATGAACAACAGAAGGAGAAGCTGAGTTCAGTGTACACCGCACTGAATTAAGAAGTGAAGAAGGGTGCTAGGAGGGACATAAGACAATTCTACGGCACACTGGCTGGCGGCAACTGAAGGAGAGCAGGCAGGCCCAGGTAAAAGACATCTCAGAACATTGTATTAGATAACCAGGTCTCCATTTGGGAAGAGATCAAGCCAGATGGGGATCCCAATAAAAGATGCTTAAGGAAACCAGATTACTAAGGAGGAGAAAAAAATCAAGCGATGGGCTGATCACTTTAAGGGATTCTTGAATCGACCACCACCGGCAACTCTCCCAGAAACACACCACCACCAACAGCACGCACAGAACTGCCAGTGGACACCAATCCTCCAACGAAAGCCGAAATTTTGAATGCTACTGAAGTCCGGAAAGGCGGAAGGACCG